GCGGCCCGGAGCCATGGTGATCATGTCCGAGTTCGGCGCGGCCCCCGCGGGCCAGGGCCAGCAGAAGCCGCTCAGGGTGGGCTTCTACGACGTGGAGCGGACCCTGGGCAAGGGCAACTTCGCCGTGGTGAAGCTGGCCCGGCACCGAGTGACCAAAACACAGGTGCGAGGGCACGCAGCCGGGCGGACCCTCCCGGTGGGGGCAGCCAGGTGGACTCCGGTCCGTTGCCTGAGTACCTAATGCTGAGTTTGTCGTTGGGTTGAAACAGAGGGAAGGGAGGGTCATGTCTGCATGATTTGCACATGGGACAGCCGTAAAGGCGGACACAACCGAAATAACCGGCAGGGCAGCGGGTCCAGGCTGTCAGTGAGCAGGGCAGGGCTGAGCTCGGACTATTTTAAGTAACATTAATGGTTACTTTGGTTATTTTTTCCTCCAACTCTGCGTGACCTTTTGTGGACATAAAGTATCTTGGAAGTTAATCTGCAAAACTGGAAATGCGCACACGAGCCGGAGGAAGGGGTTTGTCTTCGTGAAGACAACATTCCGGACAAATATTCTTTCTCTCTGTGAAATTCGCAGGTTGCAATAAAAATAATCGATAAGACACGGTTAGATTCAAGTAACTTGGAGAAAATCTACCGGGAGGTTCAAATCATGAAGCTTCTGAATCACCCGCACATCATAAAGCTGTACCAGGTGAGCCGCAGCCGGGGTGCCCTCCTGGGGCGTGGGGGCCGTCGGCCGCCCGAGGGAGGCGCTTCGGCGCGGGCAGATGCATCTGCGAGTGTTTCCTGCCGTGGGCGCGACACTCTTCTGCTGGGCCGCCCCGGCCTGAGACTCGCGGGCAGTCAGGCCAAGGGCCGTGTGCTTGACCCCGAGAACCCGCCGCCGGTGGCACGAGCGAATTTGAGCGGAAGGAGAGTGCTGCCGGCTGGTCTCTGGGCTCGGCCCCCACCCTGCGGCTGGCGCCTCGCCGTCGTGGGGAGCTGGCGCGGACG